CCTAAATATAAACACTGTATTATTCTGCCCAGTTTGACAGTCTATTATTTAATATTCGGGTAAACAATTTTCCAAGAACGTTTAACAAAGTTATACCTCTGAAATTATTGACATCATTTAAACTACCTTTTTTGTGTAAAGGAATAACGAAACCTTCTGACCAACTTTCAGGAAAATAGCCAGTCTGAAAACTTTTGTTAAATATTATAAGTAACGTAGGCATTGGCATTTGTTTACCATGTATAAAAATGTTTTTAAAAAGGCACCTGGACCACCACTTTTACCAGATTTAAGCTGTTTAATAGCTTTTGTTATCTCCAAATCACTTATTTGTACATTTAATTCATCAAACAAAACGTTAAATTCCTCTCTTTCATATCTTTCAATAAAATATATAACATCTTCATCTGGTGTATAAAATGGATCGTCTGGGTTATTCACAGACTTAAAATATTGAGCAAAAGTGTCTAATTGTACATTTGACTGCTTAACACCAGCAGTCCCTTTTAACATATTCCAATAGAGTTTTGCATTATTAAATTAAGCTTGTGTAAGTTTCAAAGACTCAGCTTTGTCAAAATCATATCTACATTTCCTAATACATGTTTTATATTGTGACCTGGCATTAAACTAATTCTATTTTCTTCGCTTTTATTTAATCTAAATCTATTCAACATTCTATTAAAAATAATTCTCTTTTCATGACAATCTTCAGTGAACCAAGGCTGATCCGAATATACTGCATTATCTTTATTATTAACACCGATATTTCTCTTAAACAAAGGGGACGCAACTTCGTCCAAGATACTTGAAAAACTATCTACACATTCATTTATATCATGCATATCCACAGCAGAATTTATTTGCACGTTTAAACAATTAAATTTCTGTCTAGATCTTTCTGACAACAATTCATCTGTATAAACTGATTTTAAATCACCTGACCATAAATATTTATAACTAACATGATCATGGCTATCGTTTATATCTACATTAATAGGATTATCAAATTCAAGTACAAAATTGATTAAACAGTGGTCCGATAAAATATTCGGTTCTGAAACATCAAAACGTTTAACAGATTTTAAAAGATTTTGCGTACCAATAACATAATCAACTTAACTAAGGCCTCTATGGCCAACAAAAGTATATCGCCCCATTCCCTTATCACTGCCGACACGACCATTAAAAATGCGCAGACCTGTCTGTTTACAAAAGTCAAGTAACAAAATACCATTATTATTCGTGTGGCCTTTATCTTGTGAATGGCTTTCCATAACGGTATCAATCACATAATCATCTGGTAACATAGTCATGTATTTAAAATTATCGTCTGTTACATAATCTGGATTATCAGACGTGCGTGCATTCATGTCTCCACAAATCAATAGTTCAAAATCATTTACTAAGGTGGAATAAAGACTTGCAATATAATCTAACAATCTGTCAAAAACATTTGAATCTATCATCGATTGTCTGCTACTATCATCTGGTATTACATAGCATAAACATACAAACAAATCGTGCGTTAATGATAACTGAGAACCCTTAATTTTTACACATATAATATCGTCGTTACTTTGAAAAACAAGTGTTTCATTCGAGACAAATTTATTTCGAACATATATAATAATGCCACCTGATGATCGCTTACTATTTTTCTTAGTCTCAGTTCTATTTAAAACATAATGTTCAAACCCAGACACATGCAGTTCTGAAAAAGAATTTGTCCACGATTCTGTAAATAAAATGATATCATTTTCATTAAACACTTTCTTTATCTCTTGTGATAATAGTTTATTTGTTCTTTTTGAAACAAGGCCTTGTACATTTAAAAGCGCACACCGTAGCGAGACCTTCTCCTGTTTGTCCTAATGTCCTTGATTTTCACCTGTGTTTATCACAGTGCTATTTTTAGACATCTGGGTTGACCCAGTTGTAGATTTCACATGCTCCTGGTTATTTTTAGCCACACTGGAAAACCGATCACTAGTCTGTGTAGTATTGGCGCATCTCCTGTACGGGCTAGCGGAATGTAAGCGCCTATCCGACCGTGAATTTGCACGAGAAATACGTGTACGACCTCTCTCAGTTAAAACTGGGTTTCCCATAACATGACTTGTATTTGTGTCACTGGTGTTTACACTCGCTTGCGAATAAGGGATATGAACTACAGGCCCGTTATTTAATGTTACAGTGTCTGTGCCTGATGTAACGGATTGTGTATCGAGATTTAAATACACTGGGGTAGTTTCTGCCGTATCGGACTGGCTAGTATTACTTACAGTATGTGGTGAAATTCGGTGCTTTGGACTACAGTTATTATCATCTAAAAGTGTCACAAAGGAATTATTGCACTGAATATAAGACACTGATGTCTTAAACTAAATTGCTATTCAAAGTGGTATATTTATGACATATGACTGAAGAAGCTTTTAATTGAACAGACGATGATTTGTTACGGATTTCTAATTAAGTGTCACTGTGATCCTGGCCAACTGAAGCTACTGACCTTAAAACGAAAAGGATCATAAACTTAGCATGATGCATTATTAAGTAATTGATCGACAAAGATACTAAACAAAATATTGCTTGGTCTTAGACCTAATTGCCTTTATCTTATGATTTTAAAATCTACAATGCCACTACCAAATCTCATAAATCACGGCTTACTTTATCTCAAGCTATTGATCCAGCAAAGATTGTACATTAAGTATCAATGATTCCCCGAACATTGCCCTTATAAAAAAAATTACTAAAAGTTTATCAGTGTGATTCAATCAGCGCAAAATAACGTTCCGCTTTTAGATCTAACCGTGACCAAATATGAAATCATTTCTGGTGTGCTTTCACACAACCAATCATCGGCAATCTTTCAGAATTTTGAAAGCGATGTGATTTCTAATTTTAACCCTTCGAAAACCAATACTGAGCAGGTAATCTTCACGATTTCTTGAGCAAACATGACATTGTCAATATAGCCGAAAGGAATCTGGCAATCTAATCATGCCCATTCAAAATTAACTCTTTTGTTTCAAATTAATTTGTGAAAAAAATACTTCAAATATATTTTTGTAACACAAATCAATAATTTGTTTAACTTCCACGGATAACAGTACTTTTCATGCCTATGTGAAAACCGATTTTCTTGCATGGCTAAACAATTTTTTTCAGGAAATCCGAATAATAAAGAAGGCGAAACATATACGGTCCACATCAGATCTACATTAAAGGAGTAAGTAAATCTGAACTAAAGTCAGATTAAAAGGTAATATGTTTTACATTAGCAATGATCCTATCAAGCTGCATAAACTACAGCTTAATATGATAATTCACGATGCATTTACTATGCCCCATAACTTAAGCAATTGACCGGCAAGTCCTAGACTTAATTATTTCAAAACCAATAGGGCTCATCTGTTGGGATCAGAGACTATAAAAGTACTGTAACATGAGCCACAGGTCATTCTTTCTCAAGATTTTGATCGAACATCGTTTTTAATGAAAAAGTATTTGGTTCTTTGCACGTATAAAACAAGAGGGCCATGATGGCCCTGAAGTCGCTCACCTGTATATAGGCCCCCAGAGTGGGGCCAGTTTAAACCTCCTTTTTTAAACAAACTTGGTAGACACCCATTTGAAGATGTTTCATGCAATGAAATACATCTAAGGTCTAACATGTTGAGTTTTTAAAAAAAAAAATTTAAGTTTTAACTATACACATATAGTTAAAAGCAATTAAACCCCTAGGGCGGGTCCAGTTTTGACCCCAGGGCTTTTATTTCAACAAACTTTGAAGACATTCACTAGAAGATGTTTCATGTTTAATATCTAAACTTTAGCTATTTGTTTTGTTTTTTTCAAAGAGGATTTTGAAGTTTTTGCTATACACATATAAGGAAAATTAATGTCCCCCGGGAAGGGCCAATTTTGACCCTAAGGCTTTTATTTGAACAAACTTTGAAGGCATTAACTGGAAGATGTTTCATGCTTAATATCTAAACTCTAGCTATTTGAGTTTTTTTTCAAAGAAGAATTTTTAAGTGTTTTGCTATACACATTAATAAAATCAGTGACCCCCGGGGTGGGGCCAATTTTTACCCCAGGGCTCTTATATAAACAAGCTTGGTAGACATCCATTAGAACATCGTTCATGCTAAATATCTTAGCTTTAGCTCTTTGGGTTCTTTAAAAGGAGATTTTATAAGTTTTTACTATATGCATATAGGGAAAATCAATGACCCCCTGGGGCGGGGCAACATTTGACCCTAGGGCTTTTATTTGAACAAACTTGATAGACACTCATTAGAAGATGTTTCATGCTAAATATCTTAGCTCTAGCTCTTTGGGTTCTTTAAAAGGAGATTTTATAAGTTTTAACTATATGCATATAGGGAAAATCAATGACCCCCAGGGGCCGGGCCAATTTTGACCCCAGGGCTTGTATTTGAACAAACTTGGTAGACACCCATTAGAAGATGTTTCATGCTTAATATCTTAGCTCTAGCTCTTTAGGTTCTTTAAAGGAAGATTTTTTAAGCTTTTACTAAATGCATAAAGGGAAAATCAATGACTGCCGGGGCGGGGCAAATTTTGACCCTAGGGCTTTTATTTGAACAAACTTGATAGACACTCATTAGAAGATGTTTCATGCTTAATATCTTAGCTCTAGCTCTTTTGGGTTTTTTAAAAGAAGATTTTTTAAGTTTTTTTCTATTGGTTGCCATGGCAAACAGAGTTCTGCATGGAATTAAATTCTTTAAACAATTTTTAAAGGTGACCACCAAAGGAACATTCCTGTGAAGTTTGGGTGAAATTTGCTCAGCGGTTTATGAGGAGATGTCATTTAAAGTAAAAGTTTACGGACGGACGGACGCCGGACGGACGCCGGACGAAAAGCGATCACAAAAGCTCACCCTGTCACTTTGTGACAGGTGAGCTAAAAACAACAACACAAAGCCATTATCGTATTGGAGTATAGTGATTGATTTTTAACTTACCTGTTACTGTGTAAAAAAATCTTGATGTTAAATTAAGTTGAAGATTTGTCGAGACATGATACAAGGACACCTTAAAAAGACCGGTTTTAGTTCCAGACCCTGATGCCTCAATATGCTCAAATCCAATTGTTCTCTGTCCGTTCACATCAGTGTCGCAATTAATACAAGAAGAGTTGTCTATCGTGTCGATAATGTTTGTATCATATATAACATATCTTTCTTCCAATCCACCCTTGAACACATTTAAAATAAAATATTGCCATAATTATAAAATGAGTTACTTTGTATATATTAAAAATAACATAATATTATATTTGCACGATAGCTGTTTTGTTGTGGTACAAGAACCAATTTATGAAATACAAAACTACTACAAATTACATTCTCTACTGGCGTCCAGCATAAGACTTATAAAAAACTACCATTACATGTACTGTTTCGCATTTCATCGATGTAATAAAAACAATTGTCAATTTGCATAATTTCACTTTGAATGATCGAACCAAATAAACTTATTTATGTCGTCGTATCAGTGACTTTTTTGTAAGACTAAGTACTAATTTATTACAGCGATGATAGCCGTACAGTTTTCAGAACAAAAGTATATTAAATAAAATAATGCAGAATACATTTTACTTACAACAATGATATACCAATCATACTGCACGTCCAAGTAACCAGAAATACAACCAGTTTTTACAGAAATAATACCGTTGCTATTGTTCGATCCTGGCTCTGTCATTGATGTTGGGAAGGTCGTATCAAATACTGAAATAATACGTTTTTGTTTTAAATGTTATATGTTTTTTCGGAAGAAGTTCGTCTAGGAACGTCTGGGAAGTTTATTGACCATTCTAAAATTAGTATTGTAATAAACGATCTATAAAAAATATGTAAGTTCAAATGTTAAATACAATGTAATCTAAAGGATTACCGGAAACAAAGTTTTTAGTTGAATGCCTCGAATATTTGTAACGTGTTTACAAATTTGCACTGCTATATAAATTTCATTAATTCTTGAGCGAATAGCTAATTCAATAAATGAGTTCAAGTGGACATTTTATAAGTTTTGGTAAAAAAAAAGAGACTGATAGCTATGTAAGATATTATGATTAATTAGTTCAAATGATATAAGATTTAAAAAAAATCTTATATTTGTGCACATTTATAAAGCATAAATTAATGTATTCATAAATACACATATGTGTACTGAAACACTACAGTTTAATAGAAACCTATCTTGTAGTGTTTATAGATGCTAGAGCTATGACAAAATTCCAGATATAACCTATGCGTTTGTTTACTTATTTTGATTTTATTTGATTTATTTCTATTTCATAATAACTTTTCTTTTTCATTTAACTCAATACAAAATATCAAAAAATAAATATATATAACAACAAATAGTGAAAGAAGTACCCACCTAAAGACGAAGGGATAATCGACTGCATAATGCTACCATCGCTTGTATCTTTACATGTTATTTTTGTACAATTACTATAATCATATGAATTGATAGTCATCTTATAAACGTTTTCAGTCGTGTTCATTGAGTAACTGTATCCACTGTATTGGGGTGCGCATATAGTAGACAATACACAATTTGAATTAAACGTATCGTCAATCAACCAGTCTATATCTGTTCCCGGTGCGTTTTGACATATACATGTCACATCAGATTGTATCAAAGGATTTACGCTGTCACATGTAACATCGATAGCAACTTAAATAAAAAAACACATTCAACTTAAAAAGTTGACAATCATTGTGTGCATAAATATAACATTATTCTTTTACATAAAAAATCAACTATTTTATCACTGTCCATTTCCAAATTTATTTATTGTTTTGTAGAGTAAACATGTCATACTCACCAATTGCTCTTTGAAGTAAATGCAACAGCAAGATCAGTTTAGTTATAGATTGCATGGTTAACCTAAAATTAGACAAAAACATATTAGAAAAACGACATAAAGTAGCGTGCGGTAGTTAATGCTAGTGTGGTATTAACATCTTTTGAGTAGGAGTTCTAATCAAACTTGATGAGATCCTGATACAAAAAGGTACTTTTTTGGGAAAAAATGTCTTTAATTGACACGAGCTGTTTTAAGGTTGATACCATTCGAATATTTGATGAGCAAACTGCAGACAAGGTAAGCATGTGGAGATGTAGATAATACGATATGTTGGGTAATAATTGGTGATTTTATCGCAAAATTTTACCAGACACTTCTAGCCACATTTATCATTCCTATGCTTGTTAATGCATCCGGACCTTTTAACGTTATAATCCCATATAACATTGACAAAATCAATTATATCAATACCATACAATTATTCAATATTCAATATTCATAAAGTATTATTTGCTATAAATATGTTACATGTTTTACGCAATAAATATATTGAATATATTGAATATTATGCTGACATCATGCGCCGTTTGGAAGGTATATCTATAAAACCTTCTTTTATGCAAGTGTCGTTTCTTTTGTGCACAAGCATGTTTCATTTTGAAATAAAAGCAAATCAGCAAACATGGATACACCTTAAACTGTTAAAGTATTATACAACCGTTGACCTTAATGATAATGAAAATAGTTGTTTACTCATATTCGTGTTTTGTTTGTTATGTTTATACGATTTTATGTAGGACAGCAATAATTATAGAGAAAAACCTCGAATTTATGTATCGGTTGTCGTAACTGTCGAGATTATTAACACAAATATATATATTGTCGTTTTTTTTTAAATATTCTTGTTGGCAATGATAACCTAAAGAAAATATTTATACAATCATATTTGTAAAGATTGACCTATCCTTTAGTCAAATTGAACATTGATTTTTATAAGTAGTCGGTTAGCACTTAACATATTAATACATCCGTATAACAATAGTCCTTCAATTGATTACATTGTCGATCATCTAGATATTATCTGCATGTTATTGTTATATTAAATCCTAATTATATTGCTTAATCTTTAACGTATTCATTCCATTGTTCTAGTGTCTTAATTTTTTAATACTTAATCAAATAGGCCATATTTGGTTAATAAATTCAAAAAGGTATCCTTTAGACAGGAGATTGGTAATGCAGTATTTAAATGTAGCAACAATTATTAATACTGATATCTGCACGTTCGTGTTGCAATATTAGTCTATTTCATTTTCTGTTTAAGTCTGTAGGCTATCACGATTTTCCTGAAATTGTTCCAAAATTGATTTTAATATCTTTAGGAACTTGTGGTATATAAAGGGAAACCTCCTTGTAAAGTGTTTTGAAAGATATATATATATAATTCTTATTTGAAAATGAAGGAATACAAATAAAAGCATTTGTGCATCAAAATGTATTTTGATCTTTCATACAATCAAACTTTGATGGGTCATTTTTACTTATTTTTGCCTCAGAACAGCATATTCCCTCATTCATAAGATAATCAAATTATAAAGTTACATTGATTTGTTTATTACAATCTTGTAACATGTTTACTAATTGTGTTACATGTATATAATTTGAAATGATATGTGCAGATATTAATTTTTCCATCTACGTTCATATTCTCACTTTAAATCTATAACTATAACAAAGAGCACAACATAAATAGTGTTGCATACATTGTTCATCTTTGTTTCTTTTAAAGTATAGCATAACGTGTAGAAATCGTTAACATCTGTTATTTAAAACAAGCTTCTATTTTGAAAAGTTCAATCTCCTTTTTTTAAAAGCAGCGGACCTCCAGATGAAAAACTGCCGTCGTACTAATATTTCAAAATCCTCCTTTAAAAAAACTTTACACTTTAGTTGAAAGAAATCGAAATGAAAAGTTTCATATTTTAACATTATTGCTCTAAAAACAAACAGTTCGCTTTTCCGCTAACGAGAAATACCTTTTCTTATTTTACTACGGTATTCTTACATCCGTTTTTTTTCTATTATCACGTGATTGCACAAGACAAAATCGCGACCTGTGCTCCGGAACGCTCGGAATCCGGGATATTTTCCGGACCACTGTTGTGACACGTGACCGTGTTAAATGCATTTCCGTCTCCTTTTTATATTGCCTACTGCGTTAGTAACGTAGTAGATTATGAAAAAGAATATCCCGAGCTTTTGTCAATATTCTTTCTTGAATTAAGGTGTCAATAATTATGGATTTATACAATAAACCTTACCAGATCAGTTTTTTACCGTTTAATTGAAATAATTTATTATTTATTTCATTTTTTTTAAATTTTACCATGTGTGACCATTTCGCCAAACTCATTCAATTCAGTGCATCTTACATCCTTTATCTCCTATCATTTATTTCAAGGGTGGGGGTAATACGTCAAGAAAACACACTGAAGGTCAACGGAGAGCGATACATGACCGTAGGGGCCATTTTTTAAAATTTACAGAACATAATTAAACATAGAAATACGAGTCGTAGTACCTATTACTGTGTGTAACAGTAGATAAAATAGATCAATGTCAGTGGTGAAAATGTAATGGTCGATACGAAAAATATGAAACCTAAGTCTTATTAAAATTTCCATCAGGAACACCCTTTCAAAATAAAATCATGACAGAGAATCATTGGATCCGGTTTTGTATATAATGGGTTACATAGATAAACTCTTAACAAGAAATACATTGTTCGAAACGATTTGACCAGAAGTGAATGAAATATCTAGAGGAAAAGACACTTTTGCTATTAATTTTGTTTATCTATTACACGAACTAAGAACAAGTCACAATATATATTATTAACTGTATCGAGGGAAAGTATTTTAATAGAAGAAATTACTCCTCAAAGCACTTATCACTTTACTAGTTTGTTTGTTTGGATTTTACGGCACGTCAACACATAACTGGCCATATCGTGCCGAATGCTATAATAAACTTGCTGCTGAATTACAAATGAAATGCATTACTTCAGGTATGATTAAGATATCAAAATAGTTCACACATGGGTATTTCAAAAGCGAACACAATTAGTCAAATATACTTACAAAAGGAAGTATCAAATCAAAGCGCATATTTTAAGTATTATTTATTAAATATAATTTTATAAGGCGTACCGAATACCGATTTTTCGGCCATCTAAGGTTTGCTTCGGATTTCAGCATTTCAGAAGAACCTCCAAACTAGCAGTTGGTATATGAAACTGATTGTTAGCCGACCTATATATGTGCCAGGTCATTTAGTTTGATGAATTTGCAGTAATAAGATACAAGTTATGACAAATAAATAACTTAATTGAAGCCCATTTATGTAGATAAACGTTAAGAAAACTTTAAGAATATCGATAATAAATCAAACAAAAACGCAAATTACTTTTCATGATGTTTAAAATAAGGAAATTAACAGATAAGATAAAGATAAAATAAACAACATCTTACCTTTAACAACTTCTATGTCACTTTATTTATTATACTTTTTGTATTTCAAAAACATAACAGCTGCGAATAAAATCCCTCCTATGTATTTATTGGATTCAAGTTACAAATCTACAATAGCATGTTGATTTCAAACGTGACTTATATAGAACAATTAATAGACATAGTTTACAATGAACTGATCGATAATTATATTATAGCATGTTTAACACATTAAATTAGTGTAGGTTTTTGACAAATTTGTCACTTATTGTGGAAATATAATGATATCGATGAATCTCGATCTTTGTTCGTTGTATTTTTTTTTTCGAAAGTAAAAGATAAACTAGACACCATTTAAGAGATTGTTTTCAACGATTGACCATTTTTGAATCAAAATTGGCAACAGTACTTTTAAAAATTCAACCCTACTTTTGTGTTTTAATAAGGTTTAAATATAAAGCTTAGATTATTCATTAATGTTCCTAATTAGTACGTCGTGTATTGTGTGTAACTTTATCGTATGGATATGAAAGTTATAAAAATTATATATTACTTTAAAACATTGTTTTAAAAACATGTGCTTTGCAATGCGTCAAAGTACCAGCGCGGTATTTAGCTCCTTAAATTGATATAATTGCCCGCGAATCATTAATCTAGCTTTTAAAGGTTATAATATCCTCCAGTATCATACCTGATATTTCTCTTTGTAATTTCTTAAAAGAGTGGGGACGTCCGTGGCCGAGTGGTAGAGATCGTTGATTTCATTCCTCTCAGCGATGCAGGTTCGAGCGGCAAAAGCGTTGCAGGTTTCTACATGTGAGAAAGCTTCCAAGCTAGCTTATGTCGCTCTTAATCTTGTCATACAATCGGCAACATCGGTACCTTAATATTTCTATATTTTTGTGAATATGGCCTAGTAAAGTTGGTTCGTTGGATTTTAGACAAAGGGCCGTAGGTCTCTTTCCGTTTAACTAGTGGAGAATAATGCCATTTTGTGCATTTTACCAGACATAGGCTGACACCTGAGTACAATAAACGACCTTCTGTATAATGCCTGAATAGCTTCCAAACAGGACATAATTCTAAGTACCGAGCGGGATTCGAACCCAATGTGATAAAGTCAACTTAATGGATGTCAACGCACCCGAATAAATTTAGAATACTCTGAAGCGTTGGGCAAACTGTTTCACAGACCTTGCCGGAATACAACTGTCGCGGCGCTCATATAAGTACATTTACGTTGTCCTTCCTATTATTCAAAATGTTCGTATTTATCATTTTAATTTAGCCGTGCACTCTAAAGGTATAATATCATTAAGCTATACGATTGAATGAATGATAAATTTTGAATGTAGCAT